TCTTTCCTGGAAAACAACAAACATTTCTAAGTGTCATTAAAAACTACAGGACTGGCCGGAATTTGGTTAAAAGACACCAGGATAGAATACAATGTAAAAATAGTGTGTAACTGGAGAAAAGCAATCTGAAGAAAAGAGATTAATACTTCTAATAGCTTAGGAATATGTGCTGAGGAAAGGTGCTTCAAGATAACTCTGTTTTCTGGCATTGCTTCCATTGCTAAATTCCAATGGTTTTCTATGCAAATTCAATAGCTAGGAAGGCATAACATATATCTTCCAGCAAGAGAGTTGTCCCTTGTATAACCTCATGACTTAACATTGCTGACAAGTGTACAAAGCTTTACTAACAGTAGGACCAATGGCTTTTGGAACGTGTATAGTAATGATTTAATGTAATGAAATTTTGCATCATGATTAGAAATGAGATTTTCTTACCATAATCAGAGGCCAATCATGCAGGGCTGAGAGAAACTGGTAGATCACAATACTACAAGTCATTTTTGTTTCTTTCTGCTACGGTAAAAAAGGGGAAATCTTTCATGCCACTCCTGAAACAAAGTAAAGGTCAGCCTTTGAATGGTAGCCAAACCTTTTTCTCTCTTAGTATTACAAATAAATTGCTGTACTGCAAACTCCAGTAGTTTGTCAGTAGTTCACTCCTCCGTGCAGCAGCAGAAGGAACAAGGCATGACAGCAAAGTATTTAACTAATTAAGTTTCTGCAGATTTGAAACCCCCTTTGTGTTCCAAAACAACCACTGGCAACAGTGAAAAGTTCAGCTGCAGACACATGTGTGTACCCGTGGAGGTACAAAGAACCCAAGCACTAGTTTATCGGCAGAGAGAGGAAGGTAGCGTCAGCCAGTGCTTCATAACGGCACAAAGAAGTATCTGAACTGCAGCTGACAACCCTCAAGGGGCTTCAGACCCTCACCCAGAACTGATGTCCCCTTTTTCCCTTCTGAAATATATTGAGTGCTCTCCATCTTTTCTGCAAAATAAAGGACAACCTTTCTCCAATACATTAGCACTCCCTTCTCTACTTTGGTTATCTTTTTTCCCTTCTCATAATTTATGGCAAGTGCAGAGTATTGCTCTTTCTTAACAAAGAATCGTTCTTTTAACACCACAAAATAATCCCACGGTATCATTTATGGCTTGTGATCAATCTTTTCTAGCTGGCCGCGTGTTGTTGTGGTGTACCTCCCTGCTCTGAATATCCCTGGCAAAGGCAGTGGTCATTCCCTAGCGCTACAAACACCGTTAGTGCAGGTACTGAGGTAGCTGTATGTGGTTGACTTCCCGGAGGAAGGCATAGCATTAAATGAATAATTGTGAAAGGTGTCTGAAATTAGGGTGAAAGCTTTTATTTTCCCTCCACTTTATTTTCATTTTGTTGAGAGGATGGGTAAAGTACCTGACGCTCAGTTTCTCTCACCTACGAGGTTTCAAACGGGGACTGCTGAAATAAGCAGAGAGAGAGGTTGACTCATCCTCTTTAGTTGCCTTGTGCTCCCTGGTGAGGACAGCTAGAGCTGACTTTCGGAAGACCGAACTGAGGTAATACACACTTACATTAACTTACATGTGTACATTTCTCCCTCCAATCTAAGGAGAAAAAGAATTTAAGATACCTTTCACAGTACACTTAGATATTGCATTCATCTCCGATCTTTACATCTAGACTATCAGAGTTTTGGGGAAACATTTTAAAAGGTAAAAGGAGGGAAAAACATTCCCAAATGTGACAGTTTTACAAAAGGGCAAGGACCCCTCTATCTCTTGCTATGCTACCCTGTAATATTTTTATTTTGAGATTCTCATTTTTAACCGATACTGAAAATTAAAGTTTTCTAGGTAGCTAGAATCAATTACAGTCTCCATGTGTAACAAGTTTGATTACAATAGGAGTTTTCACTGCTCTTTTATCTGGGAAAATCAAAATGAAAACATATGCAGAGAAGCTGATTTGGCCTTTATCTTCTCCCATATAAAGAAATATTAATATTTAAAACTCCAATATTTTTATGGAAATAAATGTTATTCTCACCACGGAGCAATAACAATGACTTGTAAGTACATCTCCAAGTTAAGCATTTTACTGTGTTTAAACTCTGATGGTGTGACTCTTTCACAGATCAGAAACTGTTCTGCAGCTGAATATCACACACAGTTAATACTGTATTTTGGAGGGAAATGTTGGAATTTTACAGTATAGACATTTATTAATAAAACTTTGAGGATTAACATAATATGGTCAGGCAATATAACACTAATAGTAAGCAATCACAAAATCAGACATATTTTCTACTTTGCTCAACTATAAAGACAAGAATGCAGCAGCTAATTGAATTGAAAAGAAATATTTTCATTACAGAGCTTTTAGACTACTTAAATTCTATTTTTGAAGCAGAAACTACTAGATATTCAGACCATATCTGTAGTTTGTAACATGAAATCCTAAATGATATTCAGTTAACAAAGTTGCAGGACTTTTTCTTCCTACTTTGGCTTTCTCTCCAGAAAATCACTTTCAGATATTTTGGAATCGGACCAGATGTAAGCATGAATGAACTGAATAAAGTCTAAAACCTGATGGCTGCTAAACATATATGTAACTTTAAACCAAATTACTGCCCACGTTAATTTGTATTCAACAGGTAGGGAAA